CCGGAGGAGTCTCTTCAAAGATAGTTCAAGACAGAAAAATAAACGTTCCTTCACGCAAATAACGTTGTGGGTAGGTCGGTTCACAAAATGCTGGAGCGGTTAAGTGGAGCCAAGGAAAAAAATTAACGTTTGTTATTTTCAATATGCTAACTGCAGCCTTAGCCTGTGATAGTTACACACGATGACGACTAACAGAACGAAAACTTCGGATTGCTGCCAAAATAACAGTATGGGTAAACAAATCAGTACGTTGATTTTTGAAATAATATCCAAACCGGTAAGGTGGATGCATCGGTGCATGCAATAATGATGAGAATACTTTGTATCTGACATTTCGGGTAGTTGTCTCGTCTACCCATCTTCACAGAATGAACACTGGCGTAGGGATATCGTCTTTATGTCGCTCTTTTTTTCCGCGTGTGTTCTGCCAACCCCGACTGAACCGCTGTGTTTGTCTCGAGTATCGCTGTCGGCCTCCTTTTTCTTCCTCTCTGTCAACGTGTCGCGTGTTTTTGTCGCGTCAGCCCCAGTCTTGCCCCAGCTTGTTTCCGGTGCATATTCGTTGAACATAGAGCTAGTTGGCAGCCCCGATTGTTCCACGCCGTGGCTTTCCTTTATAAAAAGTCTCTTTCTGTTTTTATAAAAGCGTCTGACCGCAGTTAGACTGAGAATGTGCTGCGAGTTTTCACTCGAAAATTATTTTCACCTTCTGGATCCTGTATTTCGCATGCGGACAGATTTCAGTTTGCGAACATTACATCTCTGTAGGTAAGAAGACTTAGAGCCGGTATGTGCTTCCTGTTTCACTTTAAGCATGGCCCTGTTCTCCTAAAAATTTACGCTTTTTCTCTAGTGGACTGACATTATGGCACTCGTAGCACCGCAATTATTATTTCACCAGCCCTTAGCTCCACAGCCAACCGTTCTCGTTATTTGCCTCAAAATATTCTTTCATCTGGAACAATCTTCCACTGGAAATTAGGTTGTCGTCAACACTACCGGTTTTCAAAGAGCTCTTATAATAATAATAACAAATTTTATATTTTAGGCCCGGAGCGCCTCGTCACTGCATTTTGCAGTCTGCAGTCCTTTTGGTCGCATCTCCGGTATCTCGGTGAAGTTCTCGTGACTTCTACTTTCCACTCCACGCTTCGACCCCGTTGTCCCCAACGAGCTCCTCTTGTCTCACCCCTATGATGCTATGTGATTTTTCGCACGACAAGGAACATTTCGAACCCTAAACATAACGATCCCATCTCACTGCATCATATCTTGCCATATCACTCTCATTACCAATTTTAGCAGTTTTTACTCCTATACTTTTTTACGAATTCATTGTTTCACTGCACTTTGCCACCGATATCCGTTATATATTTTTTCACTTATGTTTTCTCATTTCCCTATGTTTACCTAATATTGTGGGTTATTTTAAGTGGGGGTGCGCTATAAATCGAATCTGACTTAACATTCTTAACATACTGCTTATTCCAGTTGTTATACAATTGCTTACGTGCAGCTGTGATTACCAACACAGCACTAAGTTGGACTTAAATATACAATTTATATGTTATTTATTTATTATCGAAACATAGGGACGGGCAAATTGTATGGCGTTTTACCGAGCATTCGGTCGAAATGCAAGCTTCTTTAATCTGCCCTCATTTTCAAAGGCGTCAGAGTCTAGGATGTTGCTCATCTTTGCTGCATGGGTTATTACCTCCGACTGCGGGTTTGTAGAGGCTATATCGCTACAAATATACAAAACGTCTTAGCAAATACG